TACAGAGACAAACTGCCTTATCACCTCCCTTCTTGTAACATCCTCCTCTGCTCAGCAGGCACTAACTGCCCTGTTCACTCACTTTGACTATGCAGATCATGTAATAAATTCATTTCTGAATTTGTTTCTACCCTGCAATTTGCCAAAGGCTAATGACTTTCAAAAGAGGCCTTGTTTGCTCAGAACTTTGCCATTTTTTGCACATGCCATCTAGTCTTACAAAAAAAAAAAAATACGGTAGAACTCGCTGAAAGACTGGCTTTTTTACAACTATCAAAATCCTAACACAAACTATTTTATCAAGAAAAGGAAAGTGCATTATTGCAGCCAGATGACGGATTAAATATTTACAAACTGAAAGCCTTTAAAATTGTAGACAAAATCAACTGAAATAAATGGAAAAATTGTCATTTAAATACACTTTATTTCAAGAATTTGACTGAGGTGACAATTTCTTCCAAAGCTGTTCTGTCACATCATTGAGCAACAAAAAAATGGGACCTTAAAATGAATGCTATTTATATAGACCTTCTTCTGTCCTATAGTACTGGTAGGTTGTGAAGGAGAATTATCTGAAGACAAAGAGAGCAGGTGGGTAGACAGAAGAAAGCATACATAGATAGTTTTACAGGAACCAGACATTTCCAGAATCTGATTTCATGTGCTTTATCAAAAGAACAGCAAACTCAGTTGTTCTCTTTTTAACAGTTGTTAAACACACAAATATTCGTTAAATAATTAGATAAAACTTTTTTTTTTTTTTTTAAATAAATTTGGTAAAAGGAGATGTGTATAGACAAGCAAATTCTTCTCAAGATGAAGGTATCTCAAATCAACTTGATAAAATAGCATGTTTGGATTCTCTATAAAGGGAATGAATTATTAGTTTACATTCTCCTGTCACTAGGTATCTCTCCTTGCTCTTTGATGCTGGCAATTGGTTATTTCCCTGAGGCACTACAATGATGCATTTACATGTCATCACATCCCTTGCTGTGTTGAATTGTCAGTCCCAGATTCAACACTACAAGCTGACGTAGAAATTCAAGCATGTATGAGGGCCGACAACTTCTAATGTACAAATATCCTGCACTCCTCTCAAGTCAGTGTATGGTTTAGTCTACTAAATAAAAATACAACTCCAATTCCTATTAGGCAAAGGTAAAGGAAGAGAAAGAGGGAGAGTGCTTTCCTCAATTTCACCAAATGCATACAGTAGAATACTGACAAGATCATAACTACAACTTTTCATGACCTCTTCATTTCTTTCTTTTAGCTAGACAGTTGCCTATTTTGGCACGATAAGCCACTGAGACAGAACAAGTCTTACACCCTGGTCACAGATCTTCATATTAGGGTAGTTTCTAGTGATACAATCTGAGTACAGATCTAAGTAGACACTGGTGGCTAAATCACTCTGCCAGAGATACTTCCCTTTGGATTTAGTGCAGAGAAGGAAATAGTTACTGCTCCTTAAATTTATCTGTTCTCATCTGTAAGATGTGTATGAATCTGGGGATTCCCTACAGTCCTCCGTCTACAACCAAGTGACACCAGGCACCACAGTGAGCATCACGTTAAAAAAAGTTCTGTACCCTCAAATAACAGCAGTTGTATTGGGGCAGACCTAAGGTCCATCTTGCCTTCATAAGCATCTATAGATGGCTGTCTGAAGAAGAATACAAAAACAGCTGTTATCTCCTGCTAGTGATCTCTGAGTCTTTAACTGTTTTCCACTAACTACTCCTTCAGTCAGACATAAAAGAATCATAGAACGGCCTGGGTTGAAAATACAGTTCCCAATATTTAGCAATCATTAATGGATTTACCTTCCTAAATCTTATCCATTCTGCTCCTGAATTTACACATTTTTAGTATAGCCAAAATCCTTCAGCAAGGGCTTCAGAATCTCAGATATCGATAAATCAAGTAACCCACAGGGAACAATGTTCTGTTTCTTGGAAATGTAGCTCCTGCTCCTAACTAGTGGCCCAGGAAGAGTGGCTGCTGTACAACTCCTCATGATGAGCATTCTGTGCTGCTTTTATGTTGAGAACCTAGACACAACTAGTAATAGGAAAGATATTTAAATTATTATTTTAAAGTATTTTCAAAGGCTTCCCAAGGATATAGCCTTACAATCATGAAAGTATTAATTACAGAAAATTGACTTCTTCAGACCACTTGCAATTTAAAACAGTAACTGCTTAAGAGGAAAAATAAAAGATCCCCTGGCATTTCACCACACTCAAGAACCTAAGGGAATTTAAAAAAAAAAAAAAAACCTGCAACATGCCACTGGGGACAAAAGGAACACCAGAGAGAATGTAGATGGCCTGGCCAAATAGGGCTACCACAGAGAGAGGTGAAACACGAGGCAATACACACACAAAAAAAAGTAATTCTGAAGGCAAATGCAAGTCCAAAAGAGAGTAGTTGCCTTATTATCTTAAGATGTTTTCTCAAGAGGATTTGTTGCAAGTCTGACAACTGCAAATGAGTTATAGAAAAGAACAGTCAGAATGATAATCATACCCACAACCCAAGAGTACGACATAGCCCAGCATCTGTCACTGACAACCTCTAGTTTCTTACCCTGACTTTAAATGCAGCTGATGTGGGATTTATTTCTATGGATAAGGAACTTCATAACAGGAAATGTATACCTCTAAAGCTGACGTATCAATCGAAAGATGTAAGCAGTAGAACAAAACAAAACAAAGATGTTGCTGGGTATGAAAACCCAACAAGTTCAGCTCATTAACTGTGTCAGTGATCCCAAATGGACACAGAATGAAGCAGAGTCTATGTGCTGAAGGCCACCTCTGCTTCGGAGGCCAAAAACATAATGTCTCTGCTGAGCACTAAAGGCTTTCTAATCCCAATGTTTGGTTTGACCTTATCTTTTGTTTGGAGACAAAGATATTTCGTGGACTAATAACACAGAACCTTCTGTGGCAATCTCCAGCTTGGGGGAAGGGATCAAAAGTTGTTGGAAGAAATGATCAAAAGCCCTTGATATATTTAATTCTATTCCTGTGCTGTTCCTTTAATTGCATTTCTATTTCAGACAGCCTCAGTAACTACAGAGACAAAAAGCTTAGAAGCTTGTAGCTCCCTATGGATACGGACTGCTGCTTGAAAACTTCAATGAACTTGGAGCTTATTCTCCAAATTTAAAGTATTTCTGCGTTTAGGTGCAGAAGAAATCTGGCAGACAGAAAAGTACATTTAGCAAGAACAAGATATTTTAATTTGAATAAGCAAATGGCTAAGGGATAGGGAAGAGCAAGAAGATGGGAGAGGGATATTAACCTGTTACGGCTGGAAGTACCTGAAAATTGCTAAAGGAGATAAATAGCTGTGGTAGAAAGAATGCTGGAAGATACCAGATTTGCAGGAGATGCTTACTTATGGAAGGATTTTCAAACAAAAATATGAGGCATTTGTGAATGCAGTAACTTTTCTGAGTACTGCGTATAAACTAAGTGGCACAGACACAGAACATAACAGCTCACAAATTTTGCAAAATGCAGTAGAGCAGCCAGTCTTAAAAACATTTTCTTTAAAACCATCACATCTGTGTGGGAGACAGAAGGATGTGTCATATCCCCTTTATTTTAACTTGACTAAAGAAGAAAGATTTCTAGACCTTCAATCTAGCATTAACTGAATTAAGTATTGTGACTTTAATTGCTTAGGGCTCTGTCACGCCGAGACAGTACCCAAAAGAGAAAAAGAACATTCAAAGTTTTTCTTTTCCCCTTTAGGAAGGCCTTCAGATTACCCACCTGGCAAAAAAACCAACCAGCTATTTAATGACCTAAGAAACAGGCCAAGTCTCTTTTCTCCCCTTCGAAAGTAAGCTGAGAGGCAGAGCAATTTAACACAGTTCGTAAGATTTATACCTTAGAGTCTTGAGTCAGAACAATCAAACTTGAGTTATTAAAGTCTCTCAGTCTCCTGCTAGAGGAGCATCCTGGAGACAATCTTAACAGCCAGCAACGTGATGCAGGACTTCTTACCTATCCACGTTCTGTTTTCCGTTTCCTTGTGTATTCAGTCTAGCCCTAGGCAGGGAAAGTGAGTAAGGTAAGGATTTCTCTTGGACTTCTGGTTTGCTTTGTTGCAGCTTCAATCTGTTCATACACCTTACTACAAACCAGAAAATGTAATGAAAGCCAGAAGTACTTTTGATTCAGTATTCTCCAAAGACGCAGTACTAGCTAAAGGTTTGATTGCAAACATGGTGAAGGAGTAAGGATTAAGCAAAACAAAGAGCTGAATTATTTAATACTTCTGAACACTGCACAAGAGTGTACTGCTTTCTGTACTTACAATATAAAAGATAGCTTATTTTGCTTATGCTATATTTAAATAAATTTGTAACTTTGGACACTATTAGGTGTGAGTTACTTGTATACCTTATCTTAGCAGCCTGGACAAGACTAATTCCTTTTACTTTAGCTCTGCTCTCTCACATTTAGAGACATTAGAAACAGGTGAATGGTTTTCAGAACTGTTAATAATATGCTGAATATAAGGGTCGGTATAAAGGAAAACATTTTTCTTAGTAAAAAAAACAATCATTTGTCTCTATAATACCAAATGAAACAGCAGAATAAAACTTTGCTTCTAGTGTACACAATAGAGATGGGGAATGGCTCAGAAAATAAGATTTTATCTGAGTTATTCAGACAAAAAACTGTTATTTCTCATGCCATCAGAAAGATATATTTTCATCTTGCAGAAGAAAGTAAAAAGTTTTTCCAAACAAATTCTGATATACTTGCAAAGTCAGAGAAACTCATTAATTTGCACATGTATCTTTTAATGTGTCCCACCATAGCAGTCAGAGCTAGCTGATGCTAGCATCAGTAATACTATTTTAACAAAGTAAATATGCAATAGCTATCTAAATCTGAACTTGTTCATTCAATACAGCCAGCAGCACCAACAGCAGGGAAGTAAGAAGGAAAGTAAACAGCACTGTCTCTTACCACAGTATAGATCTGAGGTTTGCGCCTTTTTGCCAGGTCAATTATATTGACTCCATTGTAATAAAGGTTCTCAATGCAGCCATGGAAGTTTTTCCTCTGAAAGGTTCCTGGTTTCCCTGGGACAGGAATGCCTCCAAAGCTGAGCTTTTGGAAAGAACAAGAGCAGCATTTAGTTACCACACAGAAAGCTCCATACAGACAATTGGGTTATTATCTCAGAGACAAATCATGTTTACAGCATCACATCTGAAAACAGAATAGAGCACATGCTGCCCAGCATGGGAATTACAGACAGTGTAGCATTACAGCTGTTTGAGAAACACTGCTGCCGCAGAGATCTCTCTTTTGCAAAAGGCTTTCATGTGCCATTATGCACCACCTCATCAAACAGTCCTCCACCAGGAATACTCAGACTCCAACCCGTGGTCCCTCTGACCAGGAGACTGAGCAACAAAGCACAGCAGCCAGGAAACACTGCTGGAGCAATAGGGAAATAAAATTCCCACAGAGCAATGGAAGTACCTGTGAACTGGAGTCACATCTTTCCACCCACCAAGTATTTGAACAGTTCTGGCTTTAGCCAGTGGAGGGAAGTATCACACTCACAGACTACCCCATGTATGTCTTGCAAATGTTTTGCCTCAAATTTCATTGTGGTTTGGGCTTGCACACAGTATTTGAGAGTGAGCAGTGTAATGGAAAAGTACTGCAGGTTACACATTTAAACAAAAGTTAAGATTTTCTTTTTTTTAAGTACTGCAATATGTTAGTATTATACCGATAGCAACTAATCACTTTAGAGAAGGGCTAAATCTTTACAGGGGACAGAGAAAGACAATAAGGCTTTCAAAATCCTTGGAACACAATCCCATTTTGTTCCTAAGGAAAATTAAATATAATTATTTGCACTATTTGTGAATCTATAATCATGATCATTCATATATTGAACATAATTGGACTTCCTGTGTCTAATTGGGCATCACTCAGAAAGCTGCCTTTTAACACAACACCAACTCCAAGCCTAAAACTTCTGTTAAGCATATTTCCATTTTCCAGACATACAGACCATTTCTAATTAGTTTTTTTTTTTTTTTTTTTTTTTTTTACAAAATCTTATTTGCTAAACCTCTCATTTTTTTCTTGTTTGTTTTTATTTATTTTTTTTTTCACCTCATCTTCCCCTTGCATGAAGCAGCTTCATAAATGATACAATGCAAGATTCTGCAGCCCCCCCATTTCTCAGTGTTTTCAGCATGTTGGGAGCTATGCTCCAAACCTGCTGTATCGATTGCAGCACAGACAAGCAGTGCTGTGAGGCACCCCAGACACTGATGGCTGCTGGAACCTGGTCAGCCTTATTCCTCAGTTGCTACTCCTAATGCCTCAGCTCATTATTACAAAAGTAAAGGGAAATTTGGGAATTGTTTTTCCTCCCACTCCATCTAGCAAGCCAGGACACATAAGCAAATTAAATCTCCCTGGATAACCTTGATAGCACTTCTTTGAAAACAAGTCCTTAATGAACTCGTGCCTCAGTTGTATTAATTGATAATTTTGCAGAAATAAAGAGTGAACAGACTGCTACTTTACATCACTTGCAAATCTGTTATTGGCATGAGGGCCTATGTGGTAGCAATGTTTTTTTTTCCAGAGAGATACATTAGTTCTTCCTTAAAGCACCATATTTTCCTTCTTTCATGTTCTGTTCTTTCCATCTGCTCTTTAGAGACTCCGCATTGGGTTTCAAAACCAAAAGAAAAATCAATATTAATTATACCAGTGCATTATAAAGAAAACTGTTTTCTTTGTGATTGGTAATAATTTTAATTACCAAACTAATGGGTTTACTACCCTCAGTAAGGCCTTTAATCCCCCAAAGTGTGTTGAGATAAACTTTCATTAGAATATATTGGTGTCATGTTCAATTGAAAGACCATTTCAGTGCAAATAGGAGAAAACACCTTGTATAAAATACCGAGCACTAGGGACCAGGACTGAGTGCCACAGAGGTCAGTGCTGACATGCTAATTTATTTCTGCTGAAGATCTTCACTACGCTTCCCATTTCAGAACATCTGGAAGAATGTTCTGCCAATTACATTGGAGCCTGAGTTTTCCCTAGTTGGCATCAATCTTGCAGCAGAAAGCAAGAAATTTTATGATTTTGGAATTAGGAAAGCTGATGACTCAATTGTTTAGTCTTCCCAACTTCACCTTAAAAGCAGATACAGCTTTGACTCTGGTTAGTGTTGTCTGCAGCTGCTCCAAAGTCTTACTGCCCAACTGGTTAGTTAACAGAGATGGGTACCACTTTCCTCACTATACTTTGTGAAATGCAAGGAGAGGAAATTCAGCTGGAGCATGAGAGGAACAGAGAGCAGGCACCTGCCACTGCCGAGCCATCCACATTTGTCACTAATGTGCACTGGGAATTGATCCTTTGTAGAGAAATGAATTCAAAGTGCAGAGAGGAAGCTTCTAGTCTCGGAGAAATGAACCATGACACCTCAACAGATCCAGGCAGGGTGATGGCTCTGACTGTGCAAGCATGACCTCATGCCTTGTGGGCTAACAAAACTTGGTAGACAAGCACATGGGGATAAAAATGAACATGTATAATTTGCAAGTAGGTGTGTATAAGTGGAAAGAACAGATGAAGAACTGTCTTGCATATAGATATGATGTAGAAATAAGAGCGTTGCTGTTTTTTATTTTCTAGTTATTTTTCACTATGAGCCATAAGCACTGAAGAGCTGCTCTCTGCCACACTTTGGCCTCATCACAGAGGAGTACATCTGACTGGGACATTGATGGGAAGGAAGGATGTTTCTTCTGCTCACCAGTATGTTCAGAATCACACCCCTAGATCTGGGGGGACCTGGGTCACAGCCAGATCTTTCAACCGCTTTTGCCAGGGCATTCCACTTCTACAAGGAAGGGAGTAGTCTCTACCTGCTCATCTCTACAGAGAACCATTTGAGTATGGTCGTGGCTGGAAAAGCACAGCTCAGAGCCAGGATTCCCCTAATCGTGGCTATCAGATACAGGATGCAAGGATAGTGCTCAATGGTCCCATTAAAATAATATTGGAGATGGTGTCACAGAACCTCTTTCTGCGTACAAGAGTACTCCCTGGAGATTTGGCCAGAACCCAGAACCCCACCAAAGCAGGTATGAAGATTTAGATCAAATTCTCGCTTACTTTTAATATAATCATAATCCAGTATGTATTTGACAACAGACTGGTTATTTACTAAGACTGTCACATGTAGAATTGCACTAATGTACTTTATGCTTGCTAAAGGAGCTTTCTGGGAAGGAAACATTAAATAAAGATCTCTGCTGGAAAGAAATAGCTTTGTTGAGTGGATGTTTTTCACCACATTCATTTTACGCTAGTTCAGCCTCATCTCCCAGATTTTCATTAAAAGGGTTTCACACACCTCGTAATCAATATCTAAGTGATCCGAATCCCCCTTCGTCCGAAAATGCTGAGTATGCTTGTCCACTGTGAAGTTCACCTGCTTGTTGAAGCGCTCTATGAGAACTGAGTGCCAGTGTTGGTCATCCAGGAGGCTGCCCAGGGTGATGGATGTGTGGCTGTTAGTGAAGTGCAGGTTGGAGTCCCCTGAAGGGGAAGAAACAGGCATAAGACACCAGAGTAACCTCAACACCCTTATCTAAAGAATTCAGACTCAAGATGAGCTCATGTGCTACTAAAAACAAACCAGATTCCTGTCCAGAAACAGATCTTTCACAAAGCTTCCCCCTTAGGTTCTTTGGGCCTCTCATTTATACCTGCATGTACACACACATTTCTTTCCTTGGTGTCTTAAGAGCTCCCTTTCTGTAGCACTAAAATCTGTGGAATATTCACGCAAAAAAGCTACTCCTGATGTTTCAGTTGCAACTATGTGTTTTTCTCATATTTTAATGATAATATTGCATCTGACTATTTTTGGAGGAAAAACAAGCAATACAATCACAAATCAGTGGAGAAACATGAATGCAAGGGTTTCATTTAGTTCAAAAAAATTCTTAAACCCATTCTAGATCTCCACAAGTTTAGATCAAGAATCATAAAAATATTTAGACTCTAACCTCACTTATTTGTAGCACTCTTCTGTATTCTGGCTGGCTGTATGTCTAAACACTTAAATCAGAGGGTCTGAAAAGGAATGTGTCCTTTTTTATATCCCAGCAGAATAGAAAGAAGACATGCTCCAAAACTGTCAATCAAGATGCAAGCACACTGAAGAACAGACATCAAAATCCTTGTCCGTGGCACATGAATGCACACAGAGAATATGAAATGGCTAAAATCTGTAGATTTGGGGCTACTGCTGAAAGAAAATAACTCTTATCTGAGATGACGCATTCACAGAGTCTCTCCCGAGGAAGAAGTAACAATATATTTAACTATATCTTATTCTTATCCCACCATGAAACACTTGGGAGCAGAGGACAAATGAGTATGAGAAATGTGAGTCAGCAGGGGCTGCTGAGGAAATAACCATGGCTCTCCCACAACTGAAGCTAATGAAGATTTTGCAATAAGGCTAGAGATTGATCACTCCTACTTACAGTAGCACCTAACATCAAAGTACATTCACCAAGAAAAAGCAAATGCTCTTCTACAAAGAGAAACTAATCCAGTCTTTCATCTGCCCATGCAACCCAACATGACCACATGGTAATAATCTTCCAGATATTCACGGTGCTCAACAGCAACCATCTCTAGAAACAATGCAATATCCAAGTACATGATACTTTGATCAAAGAGAGATTTCATTTCTGTATTCTCTGCAAAATTTTGATTCCAGAACGAAAAAAAAAAAAGACAATAAACCCTTTGAACCCCAAGCCCATAGAATCACTACTGATCTGAGCTGAAGTTTCTAGTTTGTGCTTAATGTAACAAAACAAAAAACAAAACAAAACAAACAAAAAAACTAAGACAATCTTTGTTAGAGTAATATGTGAACCAGCAAGCTTAATTGCCCTCACCCAGGTTGATGTGCAAGGAGAGCTTCCCCTTCTGCAGTTCCAGGGTAATATAGTCTCCACGTTGTCCTTCTCCGTGGAATAAGACTCCATCCTCCTGCATGCTTTTGAACTTTAAGGAAACCACATCTTTGAATGTGCTCATAAGCTTCTGATTGAACCTGTAGAGGAGGGAGCTTCTGCCATCAAAGTCTGCAATATCCGACTCTGAAGGAAAGAAGATGACAAAATGAAGAGGAGAGACAGCATCAAGAGAGGGATCAAAACATTTCAGGATTGTTTCAATTACTGTTTGGAGCTTGGTATTCTCAGAAGTGTAAATCCACAGGACATACATAGCAGCTGTGCAACACTGGAACCATACCACATTTCAGCCATTTATAAGCCCTCTTACTCTGTTCGGGAAACACTATGAAAAAACAGAAGTACTCTGCACCTTTCCTCCTTCTCATATAGGGTTTGTTCTGTCACTTGACTTTTTAAAACAAACCTTCGTTTAGATTCAAATTTCCAGAGCATTCCTTGTCACATTTGTTGTTTGTCTCTGAAACACACCCAGGATATTATTCATTACTTTGAAGTACTTGAGCTCTCACTCAAGGTTTTGTACCTTCAGAAATGCCTGGTGAGATGTTTTTGCACAGCCATATCTGTATCTACCTTTGCATCCAAATAAGCACCACCTTAGCCTCTAGGGTTGGCTGCATGCTTGTGATGGACATTTATCAACCACGTTTCTGCATGCAAATTGAGTATGCTGACAGAACTGTTCAAATATCAATTCAAAAAACTTTTGAAGGGATTTCATGGGAACTGAGCATCTAAACTGATTACACACCTTTGAAAATCCTATTTAAAAACATACTTCCCTCTTCAGCCATCCTCTAAAACCTGATCACAGTGATGGGAAACAAGCTATCAGCTCTTCAATTCCAATAAATATTTCCTTCAGCACAGAAAAATGCAATACTCTCTTTGCATAACAAAATAGTGTTTTAAGTAAAATATGTCTTTGGAAATTTTTATTTTCTTTTTCTCCATATGTAACCAGAAAATTTGAGGTACTTGGTATTTGGTGAAATGTGACTGATGCACGCCAGGACTGCTCCAAAACAAATGCCTCCTGTTTTATTATACTGGTTCACAACATCAGAGGACAGATGTTGCTGATATGGCAGAAGAGGTTGAACCTTCCCTACTATATTCTTATAACATCTTATTGCTGTTCAACAGACAGCAGCAACAGGTCAGTCTGATAGAATGCTGTCTGACATAGAAGTGCATATGAAGCAAAGGTGCATCTCTAAATTCCTCCAAAATGACACCCACTAACATTCATTGACGTTTGCTGAATGTTTATGGAGACCAAATAATGGATGTTAGCAAAGTGAAAATTGGACTGTATGGCCAACATTTTTCTAGCAATTAGGCTGTTACAGCAACCATAAAACACCTCTGCTAGTGCACATTTTTACACAGATGGGATCCAGTCTCTTGATCATTGTTGATGAAAATGCATAGCTAATGGTTGTGACTATGTTGAAAGATAGCTACAACAGCGTTTTGTAACTGAGAATTTGCTCTATCAAATAGTGTTATTGTGCTCCTTGTATCCACTGTAATCTCCATAGAAATAAATAGGAAGCATTCCTTTCTGAGCAACCTACAAAAATTCAGTTCTAAGTCTATCCAAATCTAATTTAGCACAAATTACAAATAAAGTAACTACTTGTAAATTATAAATAAATATGTAAATTCTGCAAATTAGTTTTTTCTTTGTTATGAAAAATCTTAACATTGCAAGAAAAAAATCTGAACAAGTGTTTACCGTGCTACAAAACTATTGGAATACACGTATAAAGACAAAGAATATCTTTGCAGTAACAAAGAAGAAAGAGTAAAGGCTATCTTTGTTTGCAAACCACATTTTAATGATAATCTAAAGCAATCAGTTTTTCATTTTCTTTTAAAAATAACTTAAAGGTCCACATGCAAAACAATCAAGACTTCAAGGTCAGCAACTGTATTAAAGATGTTGGTTTTAAGTCTTTTAAGCTCCTTTGAGAGTTCTTCAACTCCTTGGGGTTTAATGGCACTTTCATTTTTATCTCTTTTAAAAACAGAAGTAATGGTTTGTTTTAGGTTGGGATGTTTTTTTTTTCCATTTTTCTTCTTCTTTTTTATATTTTAAACTGTACTAACATGTAAAGAGGTTTGTATTTAAAATCTTAACTCTAAGCTACAATGTAACACAATTTCTAGAACAGTTCTGACCTCAACATTTACAAAGTACAATACAATAGGAAATCCGCTTCTGATAAGTGCTCCTTCACTCATTATCAGTTGTGAAGACACTAGCCAACAAATAACCCAGAATAAAATGTGAACATGTCAAATATATGCTAATATTGGCATCCAGAATTCATTAGCAGCAGTTTATATGACAACAAATAATTGTCTTCCCATAAAAAACTGGAAGATCCAGCACTATTCTAGTAGTCATAGCAGAAAACTAGCCTGTTTGTATTTATTTAGAACACGTGTATGTTTGTAACTCGCTTGTGGAAGACAAGGATAAGAAATGTTACAAGTCTAAGAAAATCTACAGAAGTTAAAAACTAAAACACAACACGTGGTTTCATTCTGCACTGCATGCTGATTTTCTGGTGCTCACTGAAGAGAGACTTCATTCAGTCTTCATATGTTTCCTGTACTTCAATTTGCTTTCCCAAAACAGATCTAAACATTAAAATCATTTAGGGGTGGGTGGAAACGGAAACAGTCAGTTGAAACTGAATTATCAGGTTAATTCAGCACTAAAAATAAAAATAAAGAATAAAAAAATAAATAAAAGTTCAGGACCAAAGGGCTCAACCTATGGGACTAGCTATGCTGGCAGATAACAGACAGGAAACAAGGTGAGAGAACGGAGTTTACTTGTGCAGGAATGAACAAGGAAGCAGAAGAGAATATACATGTTTTTTCCTATAAAGATGCTCCTACTAGTGATTTTGGAGAAAAATAACTAGTTACTCAGCAAAGTTACTTCTCAATATGAAAATATCCTCTAAGAACTGCTGCAATTTGAGATAAAAACTCTTACTCTTGCACCTGTATCAATGAGCAGAAGCATTGGATCCCTGTGGGAAGTAGGAACTCTGTCCCCCATATGAACTGATGACCCTGCTGGCTGGCCAGGCCTTGCTGGCTTCAGGACATCTGAAGCAATACAGCCTCCTGTTCCACAGTCATGTATCCCAAGGGAAAAATGTGGATGAGCACCTCAAAGGTGACTGTTCTGCTAGGCAGCTTTGTTTCTATCACAAATCTGTCTGTCTCTTGGTAATTACTTCTTTGGATATTTGTCTTAGGCTGGGTTAATGTCTCTCATACAGGATGTGGCTTTTTGTGTTCTTCTTTTTTTGTCTTGTCAGAAGATGAAGGAGAAGATGGAAGAAGGCAAGGGGATGGGGAATGAAAGAGAAAGAGGCAAAAAGAAAAAAAAAGATCAAGCAAAAGTATCATTTCATCGAGAACACAATATCAGACTGTATTCCCTGAAGCAATGAGAGCAAAAGATGAGAAATCAGAGTGCTGAACTGCAAATGAAAATTCATCTCTCAAAGGCAGAAGATACCCTATCTCAGACCCTATCATTGTTTCTCTTGTGATTTCCCAGCCTGTTAACTGAACATATCCTGATCCTGCCGATGCATTTTGGGCCTTTAACTAGTTATAGAATACGATCAGCATCTTCAATGCAGCTATAAATCTTATTCTATAAGAGCAATTGTGTCAGCAGATTTCTTCCCTCGTGCTAAGCTAACAAGACTATTCCCAAGTATAAAGATAGACCCATTCCCTCCAGCATCCAAAGCAATTAGTTTGCCATTTGTCTGAACACCACCTCTGTGGCAACTCCAGTTATCTGTTGCAATCACACTGCTTCTGGATTCTTCACTGAAAATGGACAGTGAGAGCATACACACACCTCTTAATGGAAATTTCTATTTAACACATCATATATTATGTTTTCTGAACAGAAAGCATCACTGTATACTTTCTGAGATCATCTTGCTCCTATTTCAGTATCTATTTTGAGGATAGAACTTTTGCAGGAATTTCAAATAAACGCAATTAAATTTCATTGAAATATAGTTTGTCTGAGAAAGAAAACATCAATATGCACATGTCCTCTGCAAATTCCAGTTTATCTGACAGCCTTATGTGATTTTTTTTTTCCCTAAGGACCTTTGATCCATATATGATAAGGTCAAGATACTCATCTGCTTGAGACAGCTTTGCTGGTAAATGTATGTTTGTATGTTCCAAATAAACAATATCAACTGGTAGCCTGTTAGAAAGAGAAAGGGAAGAAACAGGAAGAAATGAGAAAAAAATGAAAGTACTTTTGTTTGCCACAAGAGTGTTTGGGATAAATTCATAACAGTAAATTACCTATATCAGGAGTAATAAAAAACAGCGGATGCCACAGAGCAGTACATTGCAGTCACATGGTAAGCTAGCCCCTTTGGCATCCTGTGCATATTGTACTTAATCTCTAATTTGACTCTTCAATATTTTTTATTTGTTACTGTGACCTGGTAGAGATCTTAGAGACCAACAAGGCCTGATGGATGCCTTCCATCTGCCCCCTGCTAAGCAGTCAACATTGAAAGCTGCATTTGCCAAAAGTTAGCACAAGGTTGTGTTCCTGAGACCTTTTCAGCAGAGGACAGTCACGCTCCAAAAATGAGAGGTCAGAGCCTTGCACAGGCTCAAGGGTGTCACATTTACTGAGAATCTGCCATCATAAAAATGCTTAAGCAGCAGCAAAACCACAAAATCTTCCTGCAGCTGCCATCTTACACTCAAATATACAAGGTTAAAAAGGAGCTGATGTGATTGGAGACCATACAAAGGGCTACAGGCTATTTTGCACTCCTTGGTGTACTACTGAGGTGCTCAGCTGCATATTTGGCATTAGTCCCAAGATTTTTAACAGATGTGCAGAAGCTCATTAAATTCAGATGGCCTAAGCTGTCAGTATCCTCAAACTTTTCTTTAAGTCATTCAAAGAATGCTGCTACTTGCACAAAAAGGACCTCCATCTTGCCTGCAAATCATTGCTTTTTCAATATTCTGCCCAGAATATCAATATAATGCAACACCGTTTTCAGACCAGGTACCATACACTAGGGGCAGAAGTTGCTTGAAAGGTGGAATAGACAGCCAAAGGTCCAGCACCATCTGAATTTTAACTTGCTACCAGTGCAACTCAGTGGTTGCACGTGAATATTTGTGCACGATCTGGCTCATCTGTGTTCTTCCTGCACGTTTTCTGTTTTTCTTATGCTTCACAACTGGATCCAAAGCAAACATGCCACTGAAAATATTTTTTTCAACCTTGGTGGACTTAATAGCAAATACGCTGTGTTTGTTTACGTATTGAAGCCTTAAAAGCATTCCAACAGTGTAGAGAGGAATGGGCATCAATAGGATTTAGATTCTTATCAATGAACTTATATCAGTTTAAGGTTTTGATACTTGAAGGTGACAATAATGCTGTTCCTACGCCCAGCCTCACATCCCTTCTTTCATATACACAGACATCTGCATAAAGGATCATCTCTTAGACACGCTGTACATTTGGTCCATTCATTCTCCCGTAAGCTCTACTTTCTTCCTGGTTTGTGACCACACTGTGTCTAGTGTTTTTTTGTCATTTTTTTTTTCTTCCCAGTTATTGCTGCATTTCCTGTCCCAGAACTGAACACAGTGGAGCCTGTATGCTGTCAAGCAATACAAAACGCACTTGTCGGTGTTCACCAGCTCAAGATCTGCTTTCAGATCCCATCAGTTTAAGAGTAAAGATGACATTTTATAAATGATCATACATCTTTGTACGGTGCTGGAGTGCCTGGCTTTAGGAGTAGGCAAGACCGTGAAGCTATATAAACAAAACTTGTAGACAGAAATTGCTTGGCACACAAAATTTGCCAAATAGAAATCTGAATGGCACATTTATATAAGTGGAATGAATATTTCAACACCCTGTAAAACTTTTATGAATCCCTTTATTTCTTTTCTGCTTCACTTCAACCTCATACCTTAATTCTCCACAACCATTTTTATTCCCTGTTAACCGCAGGGTACAGGATGAAGATGAAGACTTAGATGATATCAGCATAAAGAAACTCAGCCAGCAAGTCACTCTGAAGTTTTCTTCGTATCATAGAAGATGCAACCACAGTCTGACATGGATGTAGTGCCCATATAGCATTTCACATGGAGCAACACAAAATGCTTTCAGCCAAAAAAATTTCAAGTTTCAGTTCCAGTCTCATCTGCTGCAAGACTGTTTGAACTACACTCTTCATGGCAGAGATTTGGTCATAATAATGGAAAAAAGCTTCTCTAAAACAGATAAGATAGTTGTTTTGGAACGATGACATCAAGGGCAGTTAGTTTTGATTTATATGCAAGTTTCAGTTTCCAGGTTCACTGGTGTGGCTGGAAAAAGGTATCTTATGTAAGCAGCAGTCTGTGTAGAACAGGACATTGCAGGTCACTATGTAATGAATAGTTTATAATGTCTAAGTATCAAAGTAGGTGGAGAGACAGCATCTAAAAAAAGCTGAATGAGGCTTTTGGATCTACACACAGATAACAAGGACCTTAAGGTGAAACCATGGGCATTGGTTTTAAGATCTGAGTGTACGCCCTGTTCAAGGAGACCATGTCAACCAAAACTTTTAAGACACACCTCTGCTCTTCAGCCTGCTGAGACAAATTCAAAAAGTCTCCCAGACAGCTTTCCCTCTTTATCTTACAACTCCTTTTTTGGACATATGAACAGCAGATGAGGACTAAACTTAAATGGGCAGAGGTAGAATTACAGTAGTGTCACATAATGGTAAGCTGTTCCACATCACATCAAATTTACTGGCCAAATGGCTCTTAATCCTCTGAGCTTCCCAGTCAAACAGGGACTGTCTCCAGAAGTCTCTGTGCATTACAGAGTCATATCTGACCACAACAGAAATAAACTCACAACCACCTGAGGAACAAATACTGGACTTGTGTTTCCTCACTTGGGGACTTGTCTGCATTTGCACCTGAGAGCAACACTGGGCCTTTTTCTTTACTTTCATACACTAACAGGTCATACATCATACATTTGCACCACCCAGAGATAATTATGTGGTTGAAATGCCTGGAAGTAACAGTGTTCATAAACTGCTTCCATGACAACGTGCTGCAGATGGTGTCTTAGAAGGTCATCATTGTGTCTTGAAGAAAAATACCATGCAAAAACTGTAAAGCAGCAGATATGTTCTCTTGTCTCTAGAGTTATAAAGTCATCAGTCTAAAAAAGAAACACTAGCTACACAAGCTCAGCACTTTCTTCAACAATTAGATAACTTCCCTTAAAAAAATATAAATAAATCATTACATACAAAAAATACCCTTAAGGAAATGGCAGCGACATTCCTAAATAAAACCCTACACAAACCTCCACAGAAGCAGGAGGTGAGGCATGAGGTTTCATAGCATCACACAGCTTTGCTCATCTCTGACAAAGCTTTACCAGCAGAGCAAGATGGGAGTACATCCCCATACAGAAAGACAAGCACTACTGCTGAAGAAAAAAAAAAAGAAATGACAGTTACATGATTCATATTACATTTTAACTCATTCCTTGCTAGATTCCTAATGAAGTATTGACACCACCAACAAAAGCTTCTTAAGAAAATGTGAGAGAAGACTTAGCCACTTACTATAAGAACAGCCGAAGACCTCCACTCTCAGCCCTATATGACCACCAACATTCCACTTCAGAGGGATGAAGCGCAAGAAGCGAGCTTTCATGGAGTGCAGGAGTTTGTGGTGAACCACACTGTCAGCATTGCTGTTCCCTGTGAAAACCTGGAAAGACAGAGAGCCTTGGTGAAACATTTAACATTGAATTTGAAATTAAGGACATGAACAACTTTGTAATTTTTATTCCAAAAAAATTGCTTAGAATTATTTAAATTCATTGCTGAGTTTTCTTCTAAGTTCTGTGCATCTTTTGCAGACAATAAAGAAGGACATGAGAGCACACAAAGTGCCTCAGCAGGATTTGGGGGGACACATACAGGTGTTGTGAAAGCAAGTTGTGGAAACGGACATTATGGAAGATGTTGCACTGTCTTCCCAAGCTCAGGATACTGTTCACAATGTTCCACCAGCCTCTAACATAACTCACAGTCCCTTCAGTACAGTGAGGGACAGAGCTCATCTTAGTGCTGGTATATTCAGGTTAGCAGAAAGAGGTGGCCATGAGACATTGTGGTTGGTCAGGCTGGCAAGAATAGGAAAGATGAACACCACTGCAAACTCAGGAAGAGATGAAAGCCTGTCAGGACACGTGACAGTTTTGACAGTTTGCACTCAAGAAAATTTAAGCTTACAAATGGTAATAATTTTTTTCTTGCCTGTTTGATTAATTACCTGCAACTGCAATTCAGAATTAACACTTAACAAAAGGAAACTTTCCATTTAAATTTTTACTCAAATACAAATATTCACTTTTTTCCACAAATGTTATCAGAAATGGAATAAAACTTCTATTTTAAGGTGTTTTTGTTTTACTAAACCCAGTAAGCAATTGTTTCATTAGATCTACATTCAACAAATAATATTCTTGAACATTTATAAGGCAGAATGCTTTGAAACTTGATCATGCTCTTTTCATTTCATCTTAGAAATTCTGAAATAAGAAAAATCTCTTTTACTAAGCTTCTTTTTCCAGTCATGATTGCAAAAGATAGCATACATCTCCATTGCTAAAACATGCTTAGCAAGTGCCTTTCATTGCTGGCATTGCTTGCCTTTGAAGATCAACAATCCTAGTGAAATCATCACCACAACACCAGGTACTTTAAGGGAAGAGGAACATGTGATTTGTAAAATTATTTTTATTAGCAGCTTATGAGGCTGAAAAGGGTACATAATTCTGCTACCTAATCTCAATTGTCTCCCAAGTCATTTCCTATCTCTTATTCTTTCTATGCACCAGATCTTGTTTTTGACAAGGATTAGATTGTTGTTGGTTGCTGATGGTTGATAAATCTCTTTCATATTCAGCCATATTATATGAGGGTTGCCCCAAAAGCAATGCCTCCTATTTTATTATGTTGGCCCACAACATCAGAGGTGGATGTTGGAGGTATGGCAGTAGAGGTTGAACCTTCCCACCAATAGTCAGTGACATTTTGTTGCTGTGTGACAGATTGCAGCAGAGGGGCAGTCTGACAAAATGGGGTCTGACATGAAAGTGCTTGTGAAGCAAAGGGAGGTCACTGAATTCCTCCACATGAAAAAAATGGTTCCCACTGACATTCATCAACACTCATTAAACATTTATGGAGACCAAACAATGGATGCAGCACAGTGAAGCAGTGGGTGATGTATTCAGCAGAGGCAACAGTGACATGAAAGACAAGCCATATTCCAGACAGCTATGCACAGCTGTCACACCATGAAATGCAGTCTCTTGTTCATCACTGGTGAAACCATATAGCTAATGGGTGGTGACTATGTTGAAGAATAGTGAGAATTTGTTATTTCAAACTGTATTATTGTGAACTTCATATTTTTGTAGTTTCCACGCAAAAAATAAGAGGCATTACTTTCGGAACAATCAATGTATAATTAAAACCTTCTGGATGGGGATACTTAATTCAATGTTAGCCACAAATGACAGTTTAGCAACCATCAGATACATTTTGAGGAGTGCCACAAGTAGCACTTTAAGATGTTTAGGGCTTTCTGCTTTCTGTATGGGAGTCCAATTCAAATTCCAGCAGAGATAATTTCAGAGGGTTTTTTTTTCCTGTATATTTCAAGTGAAATGATCTTGTTCTTCTCAGTAATGAAACTGTCAACAGAAAATAAGCCTCAGAGTCGGAGCTGTGGCAGCACTCACATTTTTATTAAGACACTCGTGGATATACAAGGTGGCCGAAGGGGAGTGTTAGTACATTTAGAAAGCTCATCACCCGAAATCCTGTTATTATGTAAAAATTTCATCTTTCATAGGAAGAAAAAGGAGAATGGAAAAACACAAAAAAAGTTGAAGCAAAAATCTTTGAGTCTTACCAGTTGTGGGAAAAAAAGCTGAAAATGTAATAACTAGAAAGTAAGTGAGAGGTGAAAATTAAGAGACAAAAGAAAAAGTACATCTCAGTACAGCAATACTATGAAACAATTTCAGAGTCTGTGATTTCTTTTTTTCTCATAATACTCTAACGCACAGAGCTATCAGTAGAGCACATTGCATCATAGGCCACAAGGTAGTCATTTTCTGATTTATATGAAAAAGAAACATTCTGGGAGACAGTGCTGAAAAGCACCACACCTCTAGAAATATTTAAGTAACTGTAGCCAGGTAGATTTGTTGCTGTGCACATGGCTGTGCTCTGAACAGTGCACACATTTCTGCTTGTGAAGCTGGTGGGAATGCAGCCTGCTGACACACACACATGCTTAATGGTGTTCAGTGGGCCCTCACGACCACTGGCAAATCACACAGGTCACAACTACCCCAACCTACTATTAAGAGCACTTTTGACATCCTCCTAACAGGACAAACCTGTAATGACTTCCACATCCCCCCCAAAGTTCAGACAAACCAGACAATCAGATGCAACTCATGAGAGCATCACAGTGGCTCACAGCTGGTGTGTGCAGCACACTCCAGGCACCGCTTTGCGTTATCAAAGGAATCTCACTTTTGTGCCAGGTACAAAATCTTAGAATCATTAAGGCTGTAAAAGATCACTAAGACCATCACCAACAATTAACTCATCTCCACCATGCTCACTAATCATACCTCTCAGTGTCACATCTCCACATTTCTGGAATACCTCCAGGGACAGCCTTCACCTTTCTGGGCAGCTGTTCCAGTGCCCAACCAACCTTGCTGAGAATAAACACTCAACCTGAACTGCACCAGCACAGCTTAATGTCATTACCTCTTGTCCTATCCTGGTTTCCTGGGAAAAGAGGCAAAAATCTCACCTCAATACAACCTCCTTTCAGAAATAGCACAGTGACATCTGTACCCTGCTGTCTATAAGGAGGCCCAGGTGCCTCCCCCATAGACCTAGCTCACAGGCATCCATGCCAAGATATTTCTTTCATAACACCTCAAGGAAGTAGCAAACATCAGGATCCAACATAGAACCAATCTGCTGTTCAGCTCCATAACTACCCTTCTCACACTGAAGCTGAGCTGGTAAAAACAAACCCTTCATAAAAAAAATCAAGATGTCCTTATAGTAGTGTTTCTCAGGCTTCTCAGTGAAACTTGGGGCAAAAAAAAAAAAATCCACATCAACCTGCACCATTGCAATAGTTTTGCATGCAGCCAGCAACACTGCTTGTGGCTAACCACAGGGCATTGCTGTGCATGCCTTCATGATCGCTTTGATTTTCACTTTCAATTCCTATTGCTCTACAGATAATCTTCCAATGTTTTGTGGACCACCTGTGGGCTGGAGACCATTGATTGAATAACACCAATTGCCTCAGACAGTTACTTGAAAACTCAGATCCACAGCTGACAGGGAAATGATCCATCCATTAAAGAAGATGAAACAAGGATGCAGCACCAGATTTCTTAGCCCTGGTGGTTCAAATATTGATTAACAGTAAACTTAACGGTAAGAATGACAGAAATACTTCTCGAGAAACAGTCTCTATAACAACCTGTTGCTGACAGGGATTAATTCACAGAAATAAAATGGTAAACTAGCACAGAGAACAAAGCACTCATATGGAGTTTCCCAAATGACGCAGATGCTCTGGGAAGGAACATAACACTGAAATCTGTGGTTTCTCAAAAGCCCTGTAAACTCAGCAGACTGAGGATTTATCTGGGATATTCTGGTTCTGGAATTATATAAGGCTTACAAATCAAAAAACTCCATTAGCACCAAATATTGCTACCAGCTTCCTGAAGGCACTGTGTAGCACTTTCCCTAGTGCTAGCAGCTGTAAGGTTAACAGCTTGCCATGAGCTGGGCTTCACCTTGGACCAAGCTTGTTTTATGGTTCCTGGCTGCATGGTGCCCCACTGTGACCCAGACTGTGGCACCACAGTAATATTTTAAGTGTTTTTTATGAGTCAGCAGAGGCAGGGCCCACTTGAATGAAGAGGTGACATAGTAACAGCTGCTGTGGTTCGGAGCAGGGTCTAGCCAGGCCATTGCTTGCTTCATGAGTTATGTTGAAGGGGAATAAAAGAGAATTCCAATTTAGTTTTGTATTAGGAATGGAGGAAAAAAAAAAAAACAAAAAACCAGTAAAACTGAAGATTTCAAAAGATGTTCTAGTTTAAAAATCACTGGTAATACCTAGAATGTAGATGTGCAACTCTCACAGGAAAAACAGAAGCAAAGCAAATGAATTTTTTTTTTATACAACATTTCCATTCGAAGAGATCTCAGAAGCTATTTATGGGCACCTCAAGAAAATGTCACGCAACTGTGATGAAATGCAACAGCTGTTTAATAACCTTGCAAACATTTATTTCTCTACTTGATATATTCAGATCTATACCAGATCATACCAGTCAAGGATATGATGTGCTCAACTTTAGGTTGCACTTTGATGAAACTCTCTTAGACTTATTTCCAGATGAAGACAGACATGTGGAACTTTGCTGCAAGAAAATTTGCTGCTCAGGAAAGCCCAATCAATTCAAAAAATAGCATCAGACTCTGGTCTTTATTTCAGTCCCTGTACATAAACTCTGTACACCAAACAGCAACTTATTTACAGACCTGTGGAAGGTGGCTTCCATAATGATTCTGCTGAATATATTTTGCTCTCCCACTTTGTTAGGCAGGTAATGAGATGGATTCAAAATCCGTATGCAA